ACTTGTGGGCTTAAAAAGCTTAACAATACATAATTATCCAAACTTTTTAATTTACATAGTTATTTTCATTTAAAACAGCTGATTAAGCCTTCCAAATTAAGAAATCTTTGTTATGTTAGGTTTTTCAATGATTTTTGTTAAAGCTTTTGCAAGCAACAATAATGCTTATGGCTCACTGTGTAATTAAAAGAACAAAAACTTCTGTTAGCTTTGGTTTTTTAATAATCTCCGTTATTAATTTTGCCAGCAAAAAGAATACGTGTTGGACACTGTGGGCTAACTAATAACTTATTTATGAGATGTTTAACAGTGCTACGACTGTTCTGTTTTCCTTTGCTTTTAAAATAAGTTTCGTTGTTAATTTTGTCAGCTGGAGGAATGGGTGTGGCCCACTGTGCGCCGACTGATGTTGGCTTGGCTGCTTCAATTACACAAAGTCATGCGGCCGAGCATAGAAAACTTAAACCCCCTACCACTACCCCAACAAAAGTTGGCCAGCCGTGTCCGCATTGCTGGCGTTGGTGTTACCGACGCTTTGACTTTGTTTTAATTTTTTCCCATTTGTTGTTGGTGTTGTTTTTAGTCAAACAGGTGCGTTTGCAGGTGTTTCCCAAAAGCCACCACCACCAGCACCACCATCGCTAGCAGCACCGCCAGCCAAACAAACCGCCAAACGTCTCGACTGCAATTTTGAGTTGTGAGACTTGGACTTGGAATCGAGGCTGGTTTTCATTTTTCATTTTGTTTAGTAGTTACGCTTTTACCGCTAGTTGCACAAATTACCGTCAGACAGCAGACACAGAGAGCACCTCCCCTTCCCCCACTCTACACCACTCTTCACTCTTCACTTCCCGCTCTGTCGCTCTGCGGTCTGCGCATTGTATTTCGTGTGAAAATCACAATTAAATGCGATTTTTATGCGCACCTACAAATGTTGTTGTTGCTAATATTGTTGTTGTTGTTTCTGCTGCTAGTATGCTGCTTAGCTTTCATTTTATGCGCTCCACTCGGGTTGGCTCAGTTCGGCTCGCCTCGGCTCGGCTCAATTCGACTCCACTCGACTCGACTCGACTTCGGCTCCACTCGGGCTTACCTCAGCTGTCAGCTGCGTTGTTGAAAATGTCAGCTTGACAATTATTATGTCAAAAAATTTTCCGGCACAGCTGTCGCTGTTGTTGTTGTTGGTATTGTTATTATTGTTGTTGTTGTTGTTGACTGCTACACGAGTTTTTATGGTAATTCAAGTTTCACTGATTTTTCGTCGCACCCAAAAAAGCACGCAAAACAACAACTGTCTTACAAACTATGGGCATAAAAGGTGAAAACCGGGCGGCCACAATCCAAAACAAAGCCCAAAAAATTTGTTATAAAAACCAAAGAGTTGCCCATTTTGCGTGTTAATTGTGCACGTGGAGCAATTGAATGGGACAGCAGCCATTGTAAATGCTCTCACACATGTCTACACATACTTACATATATAGACACACACATACTATGTAATATGTTTGTGTAGATGTTAGTATGTGACAAACAATTAGCGCATACCAAACAGCGATCGTTGCTCCCCAAAAACAATACTAGTACAGTAAATATTGCGGAAATAAAACATACTCATTTTTTATTGGTCTTGAATGTTTGATGCAATTCCTCCGTGGTCCCTATATTCCGACATCAGGTTCCATTATCTATGCCATAAAATGATCGCAAGCAACAAAAAAATTGTGTGTTTTATTTCATTTTAAAATTCCAAAATTGTTGCCCAATTACATAATTTATTAAGTCTAAAGCTACACAAACGTGTATTCAGAATATTTTCGTAAAATAAACAATATTAGAAAGTCATTCAAATATTGGAAGACCGCCCCAAAAGCAGACAATAACTGAGAATCTTGATTTTAAAATAATAGTAAAAGTCTGGAGTTGTCCACCGACCCAGTATTAACAAACACCAAAAACAGTTCCAATAACCAGCCAACACCTTAAGAAACGTTATCTAAATTTCGTGCCAAGTAAACTATGATCTTTTGATAACGACTGTCATTTCCTAAAGACCTACATATCTTATTAGACTGATTTTTGAGACATTTTATTTAATTTCATTTTTTGTACTTTAATTACGTTTGTTTGCATTTTCTTTGCATTTTTGTTTTCCCTTTTCTACAAAAATGGTATGAGAAATTTGTTTTTTGTTTTTATTTCTGCCTAATACGAGTATTATTATTTTTTGTTAAGCTTAGAGTTTTTAAGCATTTTTGCTTATTTATTGTTATTTTTATAACAAATTTACTTGGGAACAGGTTATAATTAATGTTTGAATAAATATTTTAAGCTATTGAATAGAGTACAAAAGTAAATTTTGTATAAAAAACTCTACCTTTAAACTATAAAATAATGCAGGAAAAATATATGGAAAATTATGTTAATTGTGAAGGTGAACATTTTTATGCTTCACATTGACTTTAAATGTCGAGTGTATTTCATTTGTTACAATTTTCCATTTAACCATATTTGAGTTGCAACAAATGTGTTGCATATAAGTAGAATGAAATGAATTTCTCTTAACAAATGTCCACTGTGCACGCAGCAGCTTCTGATTCGGCAAACAAAAGCAAAAACAATGCATGTGAACAAAAGTTGATATTTTGCGCATTTTCCCCGCATTCTGTGTTATTATTGTTTTTTCTTAAAATATATATTTTTCTTTAGCTCAGGCTACTAAACTGACATTTGAATGGAGGGGCTGTGGCTGTGCTAGTGGAGACTGGCACCGACTAGCGCCAGAGACCCCGAGTTGTGTGGGGAACCTAAGCAATTGGTCAAATGGCATTGCAGTTGCTAATGATTAGCGTTAATGGCGGCAGCAACAAAAATTTGCACAGGGGCGCACAGCTGGCGGGGAAAACCCAAAAAGAGACTTCAACCGAACCCAAACAAAACAAATTTCTCATAATTTTCCAATGATTCCTGCACACGTGCAGCGTCTTGCGTCTCCTTCGTTGTGTTTGCCTAAGGGCCGATTCATAGCCTCTCTACCTGAGTCTGGAAAAACCCTTAATGGTAGCTGCAGCAGCAGTAGCAACAACAACAACAACAAGAACAGACAGGGCAGGGGCAGGGGCAGCGGTGAACTCGAGGTTCGCCTCAAACTGCGTGAGAAAAACTCGTTCGGCTTGGCATTGTTGTTGCTGCTGTTTGTAATTCGTTGCACTTGTTTACATGGGAAATAGTTTTTCACATAGTTAGCAGTTTTCCTCATAATTTTATGTGGCTGTTATGTGTTGTTGTTGCTGTTGTTGTTGCCGGGCAAGGCAGCGACATCGCGTCCGTTACGCGCTCTTGCCAGCCCAGCCAGCACCTTTGAATGAGTTTCGAGAAGTTGGGCAAACTAGAGAGACAGACAAACGGACCGACAGATAGGCAGGTAAGTAATAGTTTTTATGACTCAAGTGTAGACCAGAATTATCGAGAAGTTATGCGCGATTTCATAAACTCCAAAGATAGCACAATTATATGCGAAATTGAATAGATGTTGTATTGATATGATGTCCTAGCATTCAGCTGTGGTACTCCAGTTACGGTCAGACAGGCAGATATTTTGCGCATAGATCCTATTTAATCCTCTTTGATAATTTCTTGGCTTGTAATTAAAAAGATCCCTTTTAATAATACTTAGGAACTAATACTTTATGTGACTGTCATAGGAACACTCGCATATTAAAGCATCTAAAATATATTTCAAACGAGCTCAAGAGTTGTCTTCTTCATCTTCTATAATTTAAAGTGATTTTTAAGAACATATTTCTATTTGTAATCTCTATATAGTTCGTTTTTTTTACTTTTGCCTTCTTTGTACGGCTTGCGTTGATCTTTCGATGGGTTTGCCATTCCAGCAACATTTACGCAACACTCAACATGTTGCTAGAATGACACCAAGTTTCCGCAACGTGCTGATGCTACATGTTCGATTACATCCTATTAAAGGGCCCCAACCCCCTTTCCAGACCGCTAATAAAAAATACAATCTTTTTTTTTTAATTTTTCAAGTATTTTTATTTGTAATCGCTATAAATTGAATTTGTTGTTTTTGCGTTTCCTTTTGTTTTCATCTTCTTTTTTCGTATGTTACATTTTGGGATCGCTCCCGTGCTATGCGAAAGTTAATATATTTTATAATTCATATTGAAAACAAATCAAATAATTCGATTGATGCCATTTTTAATGATAAATGATAAAAACGCATAATTACGCTAAAAACACTTTGTACAAAGTATGCTACAGATCACAGAACATATATATTTATATATACTTTATATTCATGATTAATTAAAGAGAGGAGAATTCTATATATTGTAAGCTGAGTTGTGTGTATTTCTATCTTTTTTGAGGTTCTCAAGAGTGTTTGTGGTTTTTTTGGGGGGACGTGTGAAAAAAATTAGTGCGTGGAAATTTTTTTGAAACTTAAACTATGCATATAAATAAATGATTTACGTTCTTTATGCGTGCTGAGATGTTGTTGGTGGTGGTGTTGGTGTTACTGTTGTTCGATCGGCTGGCTAATTAATTAATATAATAGGAAGAATTTGTAAAAATTAAAATTAATAGGAAAAAAATTCAAAATCGTAGCATTCGTTCATATCTTTCTTTTTTCATTTATTGCTGTTTGCGTTTGCTTTGCATTTCTAAAAATTAGTAACATGTTTTTCATTATTATTAATAATTGTAAATGTATTTTCATTAATTAAAGAACTAAACATAAAAAACAAAAATTCATCATCATCTTTATCCTCGAGGTGAAAAGCCGCGATTGCGCTTTTCTAATAAAAAGGAAAAATTAAATTGTTTAAAGCTTTGCCAAGTTTTCTTTCTCCGTCCTCTTCTTTCCATTTATATAGCTTAGTTAATGCTTAATAATGTGTGTATGTGTGTGTATTATTTAGGCTTTAATACTACAGTTTAATGCGGCGTAGCTAAATCTTAAGCTAGACTTTTTCATATTTTTCTTTTTCAAATGTGTTGTGAAATGCTTTTCAACTAGTTTTGAGTGCTTTCCTATTTAAATAATGGTTGTAGTTACTATTGTTGTTGTTTTTTTTTTTATATTAACTTTTAACTTTGTGGAGATCTTCACACGAGTTGAGTGGAGTTTTGACTGCGTACTACACGTTTCTTGTTTATAATTATTAGTATGCGTAAATATAGTTTTTCTTTTTAAGTTTTTAGTAGCTATTCCCTCAGCTATTAATGCGCGAAGCTGCTGCTTTACGACTGCCTGCTGTCTTTCTCCGCATTCATTTGCTGTAATGAGAAGAAGAGAGATAGAAATTAGTTAAAGTTGTTGTATTTGGGCGCTAATTAACATTTACAATTATGTTGAGTGAAAGTTCATTTCAATTAAGGAGCTTGGTCGTGATCTCATTTTAATGATAGTACAAAGAACACTCTATAAACTAAGAAGTAACTTATATAAATTAGGCAACTTGTTAACGTTCTGAATTAATTATAAGGAAATAAAAGAGTGTATTTTGAAAGAATATTAATAAGAATATAAATTGACTGTAATTTTAAAAAATACTTGGAAACATTTCTTCTCTCAAACTTTCTGCCCCATTTAAGACACCTGAAAATATCATTCAAGTCAATAAATATTGAGTGTAGAGGCAGGCTTCATTTTTTTCTTTATTTATTTATTATATTCTTTGTTTAATTTATTTTTTACCGAAAACATTGAAATGCGAGTAAGGGAGCTGTTTTCGCTCTCATGAGTATTCGTATTCGTGTTCGTGCTTTTAACCAAGTTTTCAATTTGTTTCGAACGTGCATTTTAATTTTAAAATACTTCGCTTGTGTATTAAAATAACATTTCATGCTCAGTCGTCCATAATTAGCTTATTTAAATGTGCCTCTTCTGCCCCCATCCCTCCCTTGATCGCATGTCGAACTGCCCGCGACTACATCACGTATTATCAATTAATTTGTTGTTGGCTGTCATTTATTTATTTTGCTGTTGTTTCTGCCCATTTATTATAAGCGCGATTCTTATTTTTTTTTTATATTATAATTTACTTGTCATTTTGTTTACGAGCAAATTGTATTTTATTTTATTTCGTTTTCATTGCCTCTTTACACTAGAAATACATGGTCAGTGCGATAGAGTGTGAGAGGAGAATAGGGGGAGGTGGTGTGGCAAAGAAGAGGCGACAAAACTAAGCGCCAGCCGTATAAGAAAATCAAATGAGCTGCCAATGTAGTTGTTGTTGTTTGTCTTACTGTAGATTTTGTTGTTGTTATGTTGACTGACCGCAGCTGACGGACGAACGGACATAGAAAGCGCAAAGGCGGCGACCGACTGGCGACTGCCGCACAGCTGCGCGCCACGAAAACACAAAAAAACGAACAGCAAAAAAACACACACAAAATGAAATGGAATAAAATAATGTATGTATAAAGAACATTTTGAACACGTGCATTTCTTCTTACAATTTCACACACAAACATGCACAGACACACACACACAGCCCACCATATTGTGAAATCTAAAGGTGACACACACACACGCACACACACATTCAAAGAAATATGTCAGCCTGCCATGGAAGAATAAAAAATTAAATGACAAAAAATAATAAAAGCGTGGCTTTCATTTGTGTTTTATTACTTCTTATGAAAATTAATAAGTATTCCGAATAAATTGTTTCTCTTTCTATTGCAGGTAAGTTCAATAACAAGCTGAGTAATCGAACACTTGTATATGATTAGATTTAAATGCAATTACATACATACACATGTAAGTATCCTACATACATATGTACCTACATACATAGTTCTTCTTTTGCCTCCTCCGCCTCTTTCGCAACTACGCATTCATACACATGCATACATACGTACATACATATGTATGTATGTACATTTACATGTGCACGCCTCAGTTATGTGTGTGGGCAGCCTAAGGAGAGTTTTTGAATGGCGCCTAATTGGGTTTCCAACACTGCTCAGCATAATTTATTACAACAAATTAGCGCACATAGTATGCATATGCATGTGTGTGGTCACTGATTAGTGCACAATTAATCAAAAAAGAAAATCATTTACAGCCTGTTCAGATACATTAAGGCAAATGTAATTGCCGCTTTGAAGCGGACGGACCACCAAAGTAGCGTCAAGGCCTAAAACTTTAAAGTAAAAGTTCATTTACATGTACCTTATTGTTGGTGCAGCTACCTGTTCGTATTGCTCAAAAAAAATGTATAACCGTTTTCGGTTGTGTGGCCCGCAGACACACAAGCATCATTAATAATCATAAAAAATATTCATTGTAAGAAAAAAAAAAACAGAGCCCCAAAATATACTGCGCTAATGAAATAAGCAAAAGTAAAAACAACAACAATAAAAGGCCGGCCACAACTTTTTGTTGGCCAGCTTTTAGCTTTGGTTGACGGATGATTCTCTAATTTCAAAATTCCAATTCCAAGCTCAAAGCGAGCGACGAGACAACCGAACAGACGAAGGCTGTGTGTGCGTGTAGACGACTCTCACACTCGCACACTCACACACATACGCGTTAAATAAATTTAAGTATCTGCAGGTGTTCATTTAAAACATCACAGCAGCAGAAACAACAACAACAGCAGCAATAATACAAAAAGACGCGAGAAAAAATTAACAGCTACGTATAGAGCAGGCAGTCAGCAGCAACAACAATAGGGGAAAGAAACGCGATGACAACAACAACCGCACACATGAAACAACAAAAAATACATACGTACATACACGTACGTGAAATGTCTATAGAAACGAAATGAAATTGGTGGGCCCACGAAGTGAGTGCGGGAGGAGAGGGATGGAGTAACATTTCGCCAGATTTATTGCGAAACGAAAGCAGAAGCAGGCGTGAAGAAAGAAAAAAGAAAGCAACTAAAAAAATTTCAAATGTGCGACGACGAGATGATGTCGCGACGTCCTTACAGTTATTTGTGTTTCACTGCGGTCGCTGTCGCTTATACATACTTCTTCTTCTTCCTCTTCACATGACAATTGCCCGTCTTTGTCTTTTGTTTTGCATTTTTAGTTGCTGTTGTTGCTTTACAAATGAGGTCACGACGACGAAACGAACGATTGTTACGAAAAAGTAACAAACAAACAACAATACAACAAATGTTGCTTAATTTTCTGTATAATTTGGCAGCGACGTTTTTCAAAATTTGCAATGCAAATAAAAAAGAAGCACAAAAAATGCGCTGGAAACTTTACAAAAAAAGCACACATTGAGCTGGCAATGAGACACTTTTTTTTTTTTTTTTTTTTTTTTTTGGAAGGGATGGTCAGCTGCGCACTTACAACGGGAACTGAAAGTGTTGTTCTGATGTGAGAAACGAATGTGAATGTGAATGCAAAAAACTAAAGGAGACCTTATGAGGCGGAAACAAAAACAAAGCAGCACCGAAGTTATTTTAATAAATTGGTGTAGGTGTGGCCCTCGCAAAATGTAATACAATAGTTAATAACAACAATTCCCTACCCATTTATAAGAGTAAACAAGCTTTAAAGTTGATTGATAAAAAAAATATGGAACGCAACTCATTCATTCACAATTCGACATTTCTTGCGCAACTGAATTTCAATGGAATAATATGTACATATGTATATATTATAGCCTATGATTTACTTGGCCTGTGCCCCTCCAAAGGTTAATTTTCATATAAGCAATATTAAAAGTATAAAACACTTTTTTATACTTTTTATACTAATCCAAGGAACTAATTGGAGGGTACATTTAAAAATTGAAAAATTATTGGAAGTGAAGAAAAGGAATCAAAAATATAGACCGATAATATTTAGATCAAGCATTCAGTAGAATATTTAAAACTATTTCCCATTGGAATCGTATTTATTAAAAATATATACATTTCTATGAATATTTTCTATATTCAACGAAAATGACTATCACCATGCAATCGAATTTGTTTGTATTATATGCAAAAAAAAGTTCACTCAATATTAATTAATTTTCGATTCAAAATTCTTTTAACAGTTTAGTTTTCAAATGTCACTTAAAAGCAAATTATCTCCTTAATGTTTGTCGACATCTCATTTCCTTATTTCCACAAATATTTGTTGGTTTCTGATTCTCCTTAACTTACCGTTGTTGATAAGCTGGACTGCTGCTGCTGCTGAGATTGGTGATGATGATGATGTTGCACGATGATTTGCTGCTGTTGCTGTGGCAGAGAGGCTGTCGTCGAAGCCGGTAGGATTGTGTTGGGGCTCTGGCGATCTGTCAGAGGCAGGCGAGCGGCGGGACTAGAACTTTTTGATAGTTGCTGCTGCTGCTGCTGTTGTTGTTGCTGTTCGGCGGCCAAACGCAGAGCCAAGATATCTGCAGTATTGACAGCTGTGTCCATTTCATCATCATCCTCGGCATGATGCTCATCATCGTCTTCGTCGTCGTCATTGTGATGAACGACGTTGCTGAGCACGGCCGCAGCATCGAAATTATTGATCTCGGGATGGGTTTCCAGCTCCGTTTGCAAATCGCAGATATAGTCGATGACATGCTGTATGATTTCCAGTTTTGATAATTTTCGATTCTTGGGCATGAACGGCACCAGATCCTTCAATTTGGATAAATACATTTTCATTTCGGCATTCTCGCCGTCGCCGCGATGCGGTGGATGGCGGGCGATGCGTCCGCTGGGATTGATGGCCGGCATGGAGGCACCTGTTTGACAAACAGCCGTCAGGGATTTCATTTTGGAGATAATCGATTTACGCTCTTTGAGAAGAATTTTGGCGGTTTTTACACGGTCGTACCGGTTACGGGTTAGTTGCGAGGTTTGCAAAAGTTTTTGGTTTGCGATAATTATTATTATTATTTAATGCACTGCACATGCACGCACTTTTCAATCAATTTTTGTTAATTTGATTGATTTGCTTTTTGATCAACAAAAACACTTTAATCCAGCGTGTTGTCGTTGTTGTTGCACCAAGTGTCTCGCACTGTGATAATGGCTCAAAATCAATTTGAATGTAATTTATATGATTTAATATGTTAATTTTTTCTTTCCTTTTTTTTGGGGTTTTACTTCAAGAAACACAATTTCAATTTTGCTTGCTAATTTTGCTTTCTGCTTTCTCGACTTGCACGAAACGAGCAACGAACACGAAATGAGCTCGTTGCGCTCTGAGTATGCGTTTTTATAGCGTTCGGACCGATGGCTCCGCCTATCGTGCGGCACACGAAGCTGCGCAGAGAGCGCACAGCTGTTGTGTGAGGAGAGCGTGAGAAAAATAAACGACAACGTCGAGTTCGGTTGGAGGGTTAGAGAGCATATGTTGTGCGAGAACACAACGCTGCCTTTGTAGGGTTTATTTTTTTTATTGAACTATAGGAGAGAATATGTAAATGTTAAGTGGAGATTAGTTTAATATGTAAAGGGTGCAACAGGAAAAAAAGGGTAAGGATAACATTTGTAGATATTACAGGAGAAATTTCTGAGAATGCTATGCCATCAGCTTAGCATAACAAAATGTTGCAATGAAGGGGATAAATATGTAATGTAATGTAATGTAATGTAATGCTATGTTAATCCCAACGGAAAGGTCAGCGTTTACAGACTCCGAGCAGTAACATATAAAACATCATGAATCAAACAATGTAATGTTAAACTTACAGACAATGACAAAAGAGGAATAAAACGGGAAGGGACAACAGTTGTAGAGTTTTAGCAACAACAGCAGAAACTTTAGAAAATGTATGCCAGACCGTGTAGAAAATACAGAGCGATAATGCAAGGCTTAATAAATGAGGGGGATATACATATGTAAAGTTAACATACTATGTTGTATAGCTGAGTAAGATTGAAAAGGCTTATGACAACATTTGTAGAGTTCGAGCAACATAAATGAAGGGGATATATGTGAAGTTAACATGCCATGTTAAATAAGTAATATTGAAAAGGCTTAGGACAACATTTGTAGAATTTACGCAAAAAGAGAAGAAGCTTCAGAAATGTTAAGCCGGCAGTGTAACAGAGTAAGTAAATGTAAGGGTTTATGAAACGAAGAGGACTTAAATGAAATTTTAAAAAGGTACTGGCTGTACAAATAAATAACAGACTATGTTACACAAAAGAGCCAATAATAAATGTAAAGGACAACATTTGTAGACTGCAAGCAGAAGCAAAATAAACATCAGAAAATGTAAAGCCGGGTGTGTAGAAACACAGAAACAAATTGCATATGAAATAAGGGGATTAAAATGAATGTTAAAAAGGTTAAGCTGTGAAACAGCTTGCATTAAATAATGTTATTTACAAAGCTAATTTAAAACAATAAAAATATATCGCCTAAAGAGCGAAATTGAATTTTTTAAAAACAAATTATGTTCGTCTTCATTTAGTATTTATTTGTATTTCATTTTGTACACTACATTTATTTATGGCAAATGTGTTAGGCATGAATTTAAAACCAAACCAAGCGATTAGAGTCCAACAGCGAGCTGCAATTGTCTCCAAATATCACCGGTCAAGGTTTCCCCACTTGTCTTAACAGCTGCTGCTGCGATATGACTCTCAATTTTGTAGAGCATTAAAAGCAGCATTAAAACTATACAAAAAATTGTTCATAGTTCTACAAAATGTTTGTCTCTCGTCAAACACTTCCCCTTCATATGCTTCGCAACAGTAAACGAAATACTGTGATTGGTCGGCTGGAATTGGTGCTCTCGAAAAAGTTGGCTGCGCATTACTCCTGCGTTGCAGTCTCTACAAAACTCGTATTGAGTATGAGAGAGTAACGGAGAGAGTGGGAGAGAATGGTACTTCGTGTCGGCATTTTACGTTCGGCTTTTGGGATCGGATGGTTTTTTTTTTTTTTTGTGAATGAATGAAAACTGCTGTGGCTGGCATGTTGCGAGCAACTCTCTTGTGTGTGTTTGTGAGTCGTAATTTTTGTGGTTGTTGTTGTTGTTGGTGTATTTCTTTCTTCGTGGCTTATCTTAATTTGGGTTTATGATATCTTTGAATTACTGGCTGAGTGACTTGTTGGCTGCTTTGTAGATATGTGCATCTATACACGCATATGCATATGTATGTATGCTTGTGTGAGTGTGTGAAGGGCGCCATGCCTCCTCCTTCTTCTTCTTCTCATTTTTGATGACTTTTCTCTGCGCACGCATCACAAGTCAGAGAAAAAACATTTGTAGGGTTTCTGGGCATGAAATCGTGATCGTGTTACACACCTCGAGTCTCGAGATGCTTTGCCGCCACCACTCAAGTGCTTGAGTTTTGCCACAAAAGTCCGACCCGACCGACCATCATTGAGGAAATGTGAAGGAAATTTTTTTCATTGAAAGTGAGGCGCGTTGTTTGTGAAAATTGACACGTCTGCCTGTCGTTGTTAATTGGAGAAGGAGGAGAGCGGAGGAATCTTTATGAATGAATGCAATGAAGCGAAACTTGTGCTCTCAAATGAATGGCCCAGCATTTGTCTTTTGTCGCCAGGGTTGCCAATTTTTGGCTAGAAATTGTAACAAACTACTCGTACAGACAAAAGGCCAAGAAATTTTAGGAAAGCTATTTAAAATTTTGTTTTTTTAATTATTCGCAGAAAAAAAGAAAGTTTTTTATTGTAAAAAAGTTTGTGTGGAAAATCAATATGAATGCTATATTCGAAAAGTACTTACTGATACAAATTTATCTTTTAAGAGTACATTCTTTGCAATGTCATTGAAAAGCTATGTTAATAATATCTTTAGTGTGAGGATTTTCGATTCAATGCTCAGCTATGAAGACATTCGTTTCTCGGTCAATACCTATAGCTGATGTAGGCGATTTCGTTATATATACATAGGTATGAAAGGATGTCTTTTTAAGTTATATTGCCTCCCCACTTCCTAAATGAGATTTGCTATTCGATATTATATTGTCGTATTAAGAGTGATTTGCTCACCCATTCTTGCCATCACATCCAGAATATATGGTGAATTGATTTAAATGAAACAACAGAATAGAGCTGGGACCTCTCGAACAAAATATAATAGCCAATTTGTTTACTTTATCACATTAAACAACATAGTTATACGACTACTAATGATGTTTGAACTGATTGTTCCTATAATAGCTGTAAGATTTTGTAAACTTAAAAAAAACTATAGAATAAAGTGCTTTGTTGTAAAAAGTTCCAAAAATCAAATTTGGTAACGATATTGTAATAAATAATAGAATTCTTGCTACAACAAATGATCGTACCTATGGCAGCCATATAAAATATTGAAGCTATCTATGGTTTGTAGTAAAATAGTTCTACATGTACACAAGACAAGTCTACATGCCCAGTTTGGTATCCCTTTCCCTTATAGCCCCAGAGTTAAGCACGTTCATACAGACGGACAGAGCAAAAATTTCGAATTGGCAACACTGCTCATTTCTCGATAAGATTTTGCATTCCGCAGAACGTCTCGGATGGAGACAGGAACGTATTTCCAAGTAAGGCAAAGGTGTTGCATGAAATACAGAAGAAACCATGTCGAAAAACTAAGCTTTAAGTAATTAAAAGGCTGGCAAAAACAAACAAATAAACAAAGACGGCCACAACAGTTCAAATTTCCAGCACCAACATACCAATCATAATTTTATGACTCTCTAGTTCAGCAGCAGCCACCTCCTCCACTGCCATCGTCACCAACACCGCCACGGATGTGCCTCTCAGGTCTGGGGTCTTACTTTACGACTCTTAGCGTTTCGCCTGAATGACAAATGAGGAGCGTACAACGAGCCACGTATCCACCAGATGCACACAACAAGGGAGAGGTGGAGAGGAAAGGAATAGGAGCTGCAACAGGTTAACAAAAATAAATACATAGTGTTGGATCAGCGAGGGGGGGGGGGGGGGGGGGGGGGGGGAAGACGGGTCCTCAGACTGGCTGACTGGCTTGCTGGCTATGTCGGGATCACATGTCAATCAGCAGCGGACACGGGCACGGGCACCGGCAATTGCAAAAATGCCTTCAACCAGGTCCATGTACGAGTACGAGTACGCGTTGGAGATGGCGTTGCAGATACAATCGTCGCTGCATGCCGCATTTGCCTGCCAAAGCTAAAGTACAAGTTGTGGGACTTGAAATCCAATACGCGTCACTCAGTCAACTCATTCACTCATTCAGTCAACCAGTCGTCCAGCTATGCCAGCCCATTAAAAGCAATCTGTAAAGGGTGCTCTGGCACTCTGTCAGTGACATTTTCCATACACGCCGAACCGAAACATTCGATTGCGAATCTCATTAATGAATCGTCAACACACTACACTGAGAAAATGTGTTCTTTCTCAAGTCCAAGCAATGGTAGAGCTAGGGGACCAGAGCTATAAGCGTGTCAGCAATGCGTCTCACTATTGCACTATTTCTTCTAATTTTCTTTCCCTGTCCGGAAGGGGAATATTGGAAAATTTAAACGCCAAATATATGTATGTAGCAGGAACAAGGAGGCGTGGCAGAGCCCGTTTCATAGCAACATATATGATCAGCATGTCGAGTCGAATCGATATAGGCCGGCTCGCTCGTCCGTCCGTATGAACGCTTAGAACTTTTGAACCATAACAGCTAGGAATACCAAACTTCATAAGTGGACTCGTCTAATTCATATGCAAAACAAGTTTATTACAAACCATATATAGTGTCATTATTTTTATATAGCTGCTATAGGAGCGGTGCGAAAAAGCTTTTAGATGAATAACTTTTTTGTTTACGAAGACATCTCAAGTAAATCTCGAATTGACGAGTTTTATATAGAACCTCATTATATTCTGAGGCTCCATTAAAATCGGTCCACTATATAACTGCCACAGGAAAGATCAGATTAAAAACCACTCATACTCGAAGTACGAAAAAGTTTTCAATTTATTTTCGTTTTGTTATTTATGAGATTTTTATAGTGCCACACTATACTCTACAGTTTGGATCCAAGTTGTTTTCGAACTTTTGTCTCTATTCTCTGTCTGAGTGTATAGCTGCAAAATAAATAAGTTTATTTATTTTTAGCTCGAAGTGTGCATATTTTGTGCCAGCTCTCTGGGATTCCTTACAGCCACGCAACTCGATTTTAGCCTCGCCATATCCGGCCTCTTGTTAAATGGTAACT